AATGTCCCTGGTAATGCCCATGTACCCTTACACAACCAGCAGAGTTGCTCCTATACATGTATGACACTACATGAACTGCCCTGCCAGATAAAAGCCAGATGGACAAATACTACAAACCATAAGGTGAGGCAGTAACCTTAAAAGTATGTGCCTAGTGCATTTTTTTTCTTTTCACTAAGAAACTCATCAACACAGTTCTCTCCAGTTGGTACATTATTAGCATGTTCTGCTCTGGAGCCAGTTTTAGGATCCACATGTAGTTCTGCTAGTGTTTTATATTAATTTTTAAATATAATAATATTTAACAGGAGCTCTAAGATGACTCTCTTAACCCCCATGCTCCCCTGTACAGGATTCCTATTGTGTTTCAGGAAGTCGTGGCAAACTTTTACTTCCTTCACTGCTAAATAAGGAAGGTAAAACTGAAAGGAACTGACTGGGTTGGCACTCATTTCTGTGAGGTGGCAGGTGTGCAAATAGATGTGCAGCTCAGAAAAGCCTCTGAAACACCAGTTCCCACCACACTGCATACAGCATAAAGCACTCTTCAGTGGTGCTGCTTGTGGGAGGACAGTGGCTACGTACAGATTAATATGGAAAAGGATTTCAAGTCACACAATATTCTATTCTTTGCTAACCTATTGTTTAACCTGCTCCAGGTTACCTTCAGAGTTGAAGAAATAATAAACACACTACTAAAATAAAATTAAATATCAAAGTACCTTTTGTTTTAGGCTAATACGCACTGTTAACTGACCATGCTGTTCCCTTTGCCATGCAGAATTTTGATATAAGCTTTAACCCAGAGAGCTTTGGTTACGTTCATATCCATAAAGTGGATGGCATTCGAGCAAAAGCTGAACTGGAATATTTTCTACAGTCACCAACTGCTCCAGAGACAAACCTTCCAGAAAAATTTAGGAACAGATCAGACCTGAAGATTATCCCTGCAATGACAGACAAAAGCAACTTAAACCTTTCTGTGACTTATGGAGAAATCTGGCCAGCAGAAGCCTTGCACAGACTCCTGGGTACAAGCCAGTTTGCAGCCGCTGAAGGAGATGGTGACTCCAGCACATACGAGGTGTGCCACAGCAACAGGATGCCCCTGTGCCATGATGATTTCAACCTTTCCTCTGCTCCTCCGGCACATCCTTCCAGCCAGCCTGGACCAGAGCCCCTGCATGGTGGCACCACGTCCCAGATGCTGCCTAACAGTGAAATAAGGCCGCCAAACAATGAGGAAGCCTATGTCACAATGTCTAGCTTCTACAAAGTTCAGTAAACCTTACAGGAATGACAGCATATCTTTTTTTCTCTAACACAAGTGGAACACTGAAGCTTTCTGGTTTGTTTTCCTGCATCCTGTGAGCTCCAACCTCTGCAATGCACTGCTTGCAGTGCTTCACGGTGCCTGCAAGGAAGTTGTTTCTCCCACGTTTCAGTGATAAGTGGCCCGACTTCAGCTCTCAGTATGCCATTAACAATCTCCACTGAGCAGAAATTAAATTTCAATTCAACCCAACTTTAATCTTCAAATCTGATTAATCCAGAGCAATGACACTGCAGTCCTAGCTGAGGCTCACAGCAGGTCTTGTAAAAGATAATGAACTCCAGTTAACCTCTTGTTGCAGAGTTAAGGTTTTATTAATATCTAAGCAAGAAATATGACAACAAATTCAAGCTAAATAGAATCCAATCTCTTTCAAACAGTGGTAGGTCAAGGACAACTTCTCTGCAGTCAGTGGAAGTCCATGAGTTTGTGAAACACCAGTAAATGAAAATTGCTATCAAGCATTAGTTGCCTGGGGTTTCAGGAGCTTGGTCATTGCAAAGGCAGTTTGCTGAGCCCCAAGGAGAAAGGACACATGGATTCACCCTAGAAGATGTTTTCTCAGAGTGATGTTTTTTTGTTGTTTTTTTTTTTTTCCTTGAGCAGAAGAGATAAAACAAAGCAAAGCCCTACAGCCACTACTTTTTACTGTTGAAGATCTGCCCTGGAGCCAGTTTTAGGATCCATAGGTACTTCTGCTAGTGCTTTATATTAAAGATCTTCAGCATTTCATGTACTAGCAATTTTTAGCTAATAAACCAAAACAAAATCAATGAAAAGCAAAGTCCCATCTCTTCCTGTAAACTAAATCTGAGCAGTAAAATACATCATGTTGTCTTTCTCTGCAGCTCTTGTGCAAGCATTAGTGCAGCATCTAGGTACTTGCCAGGACAGAAGGGCTGAGTGGACCATGTTTGTTTACTAATGGTTTTTCCAATGGATGTGGCTGCATGAGAATACTTTGAATTTGGCCAGGTAATGTCATGCAACAGTACAACAGTGACCTAGGAAGATGGATGGATGGATCCTGCCAGTGATCAGAAGACTTACAGTTTTTAAAAGTACATTGTAAATTGCCTGGAGACAGCATTTTATTATCCTTTTAATTTTTATTTCTCATTATGATGGTGGAAGGCATCCTGTCCCTTCCTGCTCACCTTTCCCTTGACTCTGCGCCCAGCTCTGATGGGTTCCTCTCATACTGCCATGCAGAGGTGGCTGAGCCATTTGACAGTCCCTCTGAGATGCTGCACGTTGCAGAGCACACACTTAGAAATAAGGCTGCTACAGCCACATGGTTGCATGACAGCCGAGTAGTGTGGCCATGGGAAATCCAAGCTGCTCTGCTGCACTCTGGGGTTGGTGACTCTTCACTGTCGCCTCACTGTGCGGTCTCAGCTCCTCCAGCTGCTTGAAACTATCTTTTACTGAAATGTATTCACATTCCGAGAGTCTAAGGGTAAAAGAGTCCTCTGTCATCATCAGAGCTGCTCAATTTTTTCTGACTGATAATAGTCACAGAGATTATTACAGAAAAGCTGTATTTGATATAGCCTGCTGGAGAAAAACAGCACTCCCAAGACTGCACTCCACCTTCTCCATTTCGACACAACACCAGTGAAATCTTCAAACACAGACAACCTTATAGTCCCTGTGTGCAAAGGGGATGAGCATTTGGCTCAAGGAATTCCAGTGACATTTTACAAAATGGGTTTTACTGCTGTTTCTCATTGAATAGAACCTTGATTGTTGCAGTAGAAAAGATGAAAAGCACCGAACATTAATTTGCTTCATAATGCTGTATATCTTTTTTAAAAAAGCTGCTGGTAACACTCATACTGTGCTGTCTTGCACAGTGCAATTGTAGATGCAAACAGAAATTGTGCTGCAGAGATTTCTTCTTCCAGTAACATGATGACAAACAAAAAGGGGATCGAGGAAGAAGCAAAAGCACATCAGAAAAAGTCCTGTACAGTGTGTGCTATGCTTGTTGCAATTTTATAGCCATTAGCATAAATGTGGTGTTGTGTACAGCTATAACCACTTGCAGCTTCATTTTGGGAAAAAAAAAAAAAACGCAAATATGCTCCAAAGCAAGAAGTACCACAAGCACTTCAGGTCCATGGTCAGCTTTTGGATGCATAGTACGTACATGAAGATACAGCCAAAGCTATGTCTTGACAACACTTCACTGAGTCAGGACCAAGTAGCTTCCTTATTCTACAAGACAGTTTCCCCATAGCTGTTCACAAATTCCCATCTGTCTCAACATCCACACAGGGATGTCCACTTGGATTTCCCATGCTCCATGCACCTTCTTTAATTCAACATAACCTTCCTGCTCCAGACTTTCTGCCTTTCATGCTATACTCAGCTGCACACACAAAAAGAGGGTGCTGACCCTGGCTTGTATGTATCTGCTTTATGACACCGTGCCTGGCTCTGCCATTTCCTCTCTGCCTGTACCCATCAGGCTTCACCACCTCTTCTGCGCTTATGGTACAACACCGCTGCTCCCCTGTCTGCACTTATCCTGAGTGCGCAGCTCATTTGCACTATGCAAATATCTCCTAGAAGCACACAGACGCTAATCCATGAAATAAAATAAGTCTTTTGTCAGTTATAACACTGAGTCACCGTCTAATTTTAATGATGCCGAAAAATGTTGATTACCTCTCAAGGCGATAATTGTCCCCTGCTGAATTTATTAGTTTGTTTACCTCCTTTTGTGCACATTCGTTAGATGAGCTGATAAAGAACACCGAAATGCTTTGTGACAGTGGGGAGGTAGACCAGCTAACCCTGGGGAGGCAGGGGAACTTCATGCCAGGGCAAATGGATGGTTAAACGCATGTGATGTGCAGTGAAGTCTGTGCCACGACATGAATGGTGAAGGGTTGGTCCCCCTGCTGCCACAGGGACACGTGGCTGAATTTGATGAAGTTTTAGGCAGGAACAAGCTGACCATGAAGCAGTCCCCTCTTGCAGCAAGGGACATGGTAATGCTGGCAGGGTATGGCTGCAGAGCAGGAGTTCATCCCCTTCCAGGTTTCTTAACAAAAGTGTTTATTGATTTGAAGTCCTGTATTTACACACTGATATCACAGTGCTGCAGCCCGGGCGGGGGGGGGGGGGGGGGGGGGGGGGCGGAATGGGGTGGGGAGCAGCAGCAGGTTTTTAGTCAATATGCTTTTTGCTCGAGGTAGTTATCTCTTTGGTTGTGATTTTCTGAAGCTATCCTTTAAAATCAGCTAAAACGTAACATGAGGGAAGTTTATCATCTCTGTGAGGCATTAGTTTAGGGTCAAGCAGTTCCTTATTATTCTGATAATGAAGCCTCCTAAATTAGCACTCCCGTGTGTAACAGGACATTGGCAAAACATATCTAATGTACAGACACACAACAAAACAACTAATGATGCCAGGAAATGCAATTGCTAATTTGTACCGACCCTGCCTTCCCCTTTCCCACCCAGCAGCTCCACAGCTCAGTAATGCCTGCTGCTCCTTGTCTTGCTAGCGCCACCTGCTGAATGAAGCTGCATGCGAGAGGAGTCCAACGCGCACCCGCTGCTGTCAGCGTTAAGCTCTGGGAACGGCCATCAGACGGGAACTGAGAAAAAAATCTCAAACCCACAATGAACTAAACATTCTTTCACTTTCTTTATGTTCTCTGGTCCCCAAAAAGCTGGGGCTAATGGAAGAAAAAGTCAGTTCCCAGGATTTCTTCATCATTAAAATGAAGTAGGCATTGCTGTCCACAGAAGCGCTAACTGCGTAGCAGTTCAAAAATTCATCTTTTGTAACCTAAGAATAAGAAAACCAGTGTTTACGATGTGTGATGGCTCTGTGTCCCAAAGCAATATGTTTCTGTAACACGGCCTCGCATTTTGCAAATAATTCTTTTTCATCTTCCAGAGAGGTCTGATTCTTTGGTCAGACTGCTCTAATCTGACATTAGGAAGCATCCCTGCAGGAAGCTCTCATACAGCATTAGGTCCAATAACACTGAAGTTAACGGACTAAACTTCTTGCATCAGGAGATGGAGCTGTTTTTATGTCCTGGAAAAATGAATGTCAGAAAAGTTATTGGTAAATATTAACTGCATTACTTAGATGTCACGATGACATCAGGTTAGTCCAGCATTAGCACCATCACCAAATAAGTGCAAGAAGCTCCAGAAGTCAGTCAAGCAAAAAAAAGAAAAAAAGCCAAAAAAAAACCCAAAACAAACAGGCAGAAATGTATTGATGAAAGTGTCTAAAGGAATAAATCTATGTCACAAAACCAGAGCTTCTTAAAAGTAATGTGCTATTGTTTCCCAGAAAATGTGAGCTAAAAAAAACCAACAACAAGAAAAAAAAACAACAAAAAATCCTAAACAAAACACAAAATTGTGAATGATAAAGTATCAGTTGAAAGTAAAACATAAACACATCGCAGCTTTTGGCAAAAATATCATGTCTTCAATGAAAAAGAACAGATCTAGCTCAAGAAAATAAACACTGCTCACATTTTACCACAAGCTCTGTTTTTTCCACTGAAAACCAGGCTTGATTTAACTTTCACAAAACATTACATCCCTTTCTTTATCATTTTTCCTACTTGCCAAGACAGTCAACAAACTCTGGATCCCATCCCTATTCTCCAGCTGCAGCTCCCGTTGGGATCAACGCCAACATCGTAAGCATGGAGGAAGCCTTGGTCCAGGTTTCTAGGGATGCCTTTGCTCTACCTGGGGTCCACTGCAAACCCGTGAGCTGAAGCTTTTGCATCCTGCAGTGCTCCCACCTCCTGCAGCCTCTGTTGTCGTCAGAGCTGAATAGGTGCTAGAAGAACCAAAACGCTTGCTTTGCCATCACAGGCACTTCAAACTCAGCAGTATGGGGGGCTGTTTCAATTACTGAGGCTGCTTTCAGCTACCTGAGGACTTGGTATTAAGTACAGCCCACTCGGAATCATGCTTTCTGCTCACTCACCCCTTCCTCCTGAGCTGGCTGTGAGAAAGGATTTCTGGAGAAACAGGAGGGGGTTTAATCATAACGAAAGTCATAGTGGGCAGCTGCCGATGGCAGCAGGATGCTCTTAGCGTTAGCTGGTTTACCAGGGAAAACTGCTGCTACTGCTCCCAATGTGGAAAACAGGAGCTGGGAGGCAAAAATAGCCAAAATCTCAGCTGGTGACAGTGGATCCATGAGCCCAGCTCTGGAATGGCAAAGCTCTACTCTGCCTATGCAGCTGCAGAGGCTTGAGGCAGTACTGTGTAAAAGCTGTTACATAAAGGCAAGTTGGCTTTTATACAGCACTGTGTGCAGGTGGTTTTATCTGCAAAAACCTCAGCTACTTCCATCTGCTTCTACCAATACAGCTTTTTTTTTGCCAGGAGACCAATGAATCAGGTCACTGAATATGCCTTGTGGTCTAATTTCAAGTATATATACAGTGAGGGGCTTGCATTAAAACTCTCTTGCCTGAACCAGAAATTTATGTTGCAGGACAAAGCATGAGCCAAACAACAATTCTGGACCATATCAAGCCAAAAAATCTTCCTTCCAGGACAAAAACATGAAGCCACAAAAAGCACACGGGGTAAACCCAAAATGGAGTAAAGGATGCTGCGGGAGTGTTGCCTTTCCCTGGGGAATACAGCAGAGGGAAAGGCTGTCCTCCATCTCCCTGTCACATGCCTTCTGCTTGTTCCAGCATGGAGGGAATCACAGAGATGCTCTGATGGCTCAGGTGGAGGTAGGGGGTGGCAGCAGAGTTTGATGGGAGGTATAAGACAGCCTTTTCCCTCTATGAGGGACCACAGGGCTCCACCAGCAGTTTTAGAGCAAGCTCCAGTGCTGCCTAGTGGGGCGGGCAGCTCTCAGCCCCAACAAGGGGCTGTGCCATTGGGCAGGATGGGGTTCAAGGTGCAAAGTCTTTACCTCTGTTACTGGCCCACAGCCTTGCAGACTCAGATGCTCCTATGGTTTGTGCCATCCTGTTTAACATCTGTTGCACAGAAATAGTGCTTTGAAAATGAAGCACTAGCCAAGATCTGAAAATCTCGATGCTAGCACCAGATACAATCATGTTCATTGCCACCTACCTCCCCATATCTGCCATGTGTGCTCTGCAACCACAGGCTGGCAGGACAGCCTGCATCAACATTTATCTCCAGCATCTGCTGGGTCTGTAACCAGCACACAGCAGCCTGCAGCTGAACATGAGCACTTGAGCTTCATTTTTTGCTCTCCCAGATCACAGTGCAGCATCCCTAGCACAGACAAGGATGGTGAAGTGCTAAAGGGCAGTCTCGGGCATCTGCTGTTAGCCCTGGTATTCCTCCCTGTCTGATTCAAATCCGTTTAATTTGCCATTAATCTCTGAAAGTGTTTCCACTGCGTTGCATGTGAGTGTGTCGTTATGGCTGCACATCTCCTAGTAGAGCTTTTCTGGCTAGCAGCCAGTGCAATGCGTGTGTCTGTTACATGAATTTGCACATGTATTAATCAAATGACATTTCTTACAGTGCAGATTCCAGTTTGTGTTCTATGGCATCTGATTACAAGCAATCACATATTATTCTTTCCCACATCGTTTATTTTTCCTGAAAGCCCTCTACCTTTTCTGCAGTTACCAGTTTTCACTCAGATTGTTCCCACTGCAATGACAGGGAACTGTCATTTGACTTGAATGACTTCAAATGAACCTGAAAACAGCCTTTGGAAACCTGCTCTGAGCAAATTCTGAAACCACTAAATTGCGAAAAATGTCCTCCTGATGCTGAGCCACGTATCCAGCATGCAATGAGGTCCACATGCAGGCAGACCCAAGGAACCAGGAGCCTCTCTGAGGGCACTGGGGTACACCATCTGCGGCTCTCATGTAGGGCGGGCATTGAGCCCTCCCACCTGGATGAGGGGGTTTGAGCTCCCCCTGCTTGCATCCTGCAGGTTCCCACACAAAACCCTCTTAGCCAAGCTCAGTGCAGATGTCTCATCCTCGAGCACGGAGCTCCCCTCAGTCACAGGCTCCCAGAGGCTGGGGACAAACTTCCACTGGTTTTAAGAAGCCACAGCTGCTGCCAGTACCACTCCTCCCTTCTGAAAAGGTAAATTACATTGGGGATTAAGTAAAACCAGAAAGTATTAGCACTGAAAAGAAAAACTGGTTGCAGTTACACAGGTTGAACCTTCCACTGTGCTTGATTATCAGCACAACAGATCACTGTGGGGTCTGAAGACACGAGGCAGCATGTCAGAGGGGCATAGTGTTTTCATTTTGTGATTCCCACAGTCTATTCACATTATTTTGTTTTTATTTGAAACACAGAAGACAAATAACATGACACCCTGCTGTGGAGGCAATTAATACATGAAAATGAGTGGATTCTACTCAGGCTGCCACAACATATACAGCCTCTATTTAATAGAGGCTGTTTTTTTTCGTAGAAAGTATGTTGGCAATTCAGCATCAGTAGCATCGCAGTAAGTAAAGGCTCTTCTTATGATCGATAACAGGCATGAAGAGACTCCAACAGCTTCCAGTGTCAGCCAGTAAGCAAGGTTATGGAGGCTTGCAAATCAAAGAAAATAATTGAGTTTGCACAGCCATTACTGGGGAATTTCAAGCAGCGATTGCTCATACTGAGATCATGGGTAGACAATAAAAGCAGAGTTTGCACAGGAACAAAGCAGCACTCACTCAGGACTTCATTGTTTGAACTGTTAGCAACCCAAGCTAAGTAAGAACTGAGACTTCACAAGTCCAGCTCTTTTGAAAATCCAGCCTGTAAGCCTATACTCCTTTCAGCTGGTTGCCAGCTTGAAATGGAGCAAATGCTGCCGTACACAAGCCATTCACTCCTAGCTACAGCAACAGCATTTCAGTCTGGGAGAGCAGCATGATGCAAGAGAAGCATAAAGAAGATGACAAAGAAAAAGGAATGAGAGCAAGAATAATTATCTAATTATTATTAAGTAATTATTAATAATTATTAAGTACCTCCTCACCCCTCTCTCCCCCCTTCCTTTTTCCTTTCTGTTTTGTTTTTTGTTATTTTTTTGTTTGTTTTTGTTTATTTTTGTTCTGTTTTGTTTTTCCTTTGTGCACCATTTCTCTGCTCTCAGTGTAATGAAAGGACAGCGGATCTCAGAGCTGAGACAACCCCATTTGCATGACCAGAGGGAGCAGGTTTCCATCCTTTTTTCAGCATCATAAACAGAAGATGACAAGACAAGAAAGTTACAGATACTTTTTTTCCCAGAAAGCTCCCTGATGTCATGGCTTGGTCATAAACCAGTATAAATACAAAAAGTAGTGAGCAGCTTTTGGTGTAGGTGCGTACAGACAACAGCTCTCAGACCAGCAAATGTTCCAGGAACAGTGAGAATTAAATACTGTAACACATGAATGCCCTTTAAAGAGAAGTCTTAGCGAGATGATCTCACAGCAGAAAAATAAAGAAATCAAAGTGGGGAGAAAAGCTATAAGCAAGCCTACAGAGGTTTGAAACAGGCATACACAGGAAAGATGCCTGTATGCAGAGCTGTAAACCAGGGAAAAGACAGGCTGAGAAATTTGGAGCTGTTCAGCCTAGGGAAGAGAAGCTGCATGGAGACCTCATAGCAGCTTTCCAGTATGTGAAGCGGGACTACAGGAATACTGGAGAGGGACTCTCCATCAGGGACTGTAATGATAGGACAAGGGGTAGCAGGTTCAAACTTAAACAGGGAAAGTTCAGGTTGGATATAAGGAGGAAGTTCTTTACTGTGAGGGTGGTGAAGCACTGGAACAGGTTGCCCAAAGAAGTTTTGAATGCTCCATCCTTGGCAGTGTTCAAGGCTGGGTTGGAAAGAGCCTTGGGCGACATGGTCTAGTGTGAGACATCCCTGCCCATGGCAGGGGTTGGAATTTGATGATCTTAAGGACCTTTCCAACCCTAACTATTCTATGATTCTATGTTCCCAGCAGTGAGCTGAGCAGTTGCTCCAACGCACAAGTGAGAGAGACCCAAGAAGACAAGAGATGCTGCAGTGCTACAAGTTAGAGGCCTGGGACCCTCCTGGGACAGGCTTCCTCACATTTGTAACAGTCTGCCCCAGACCACCACCCTTCCAGAATATTTTGATTTCTATCTCTTATATCCTCTGTCAAACAGAGCTGTACCTAACACTGGAGGAGAGTATATTCAGGAGCCACAAGGACCTACTGCAGATGTCTGAGAAGAAAGGGGCAGATAGTCTCAGAAAAGAAAAGCCATGTCAGAAATGCGGGGAAAAAGGGGATAGATCTGCAGAGTGGCTGGATGACAGATCTGCTCCCTGATTATGCTTCAATCCCCTGAGGCTGAGCCTATCAAAGCATCTGGGAATTATTTCTGCAGATTGTCTGTAATTGGCACAGTTACTGGAAGCTGCTATTGTGGAAAATGAGCCTGTGGTTGTGCATAAATTTAATCATAGGAACCTACAAAATGCGGAATTAAAGTCTTGCTCCTTTAATCAAATGATCATAGTTTCCAAGCGTTCTTCATCATGACGATAAAGTAGACATCTGTGTCTATAGAAGCGCTCACTCCTGCATAGTAGTTCATGAATTCTTCTGTTGTGACCTGAGACAGAAGGATTTAAAACAGGAAAATGAGCCTTTATTTTTTTAAAGTTGTAAGCCAAAACCACACATTGAGAAGAACATCTGCTATTTCATGTTAATAGTGAAAAGGAATCCAAGGGAAAAAAATTTGCTAAAATTCATCTGTTTGCTAGAAACAAGAGCTCTTGTCCTCCAAGAGCCCTTGGATGGAAATGGAAATGAAATGTGTGGAGTTCAACTAACACTAACACGAACTGAAGTTAAAATCGGTGCTACTCAAGAAGACAAATGTTCTAATGCATATTTTTGTTTCAAGGATGTTATACTTTGGTTCTTTGCATTATTATTAACAAAAGTGAATGGGATTTTGGTGCAACCCAGACACAGCTAGGAGCTTTATAACCATTTGTTAGAGAGAAAATGTTGTTGCTCTAAACAGGTCTTACTCAAAGAAGCAAAAATTCTTTCAAAATCCCACATATTTTGAACATCTTTCATCATCATTTTGAGGTTGAATCAGTTTTAAAATGACCATTAAAAAAATATAATAAGAATCAGATTAGCAGAAATAAACAGAGCATGTCTTTTGTGATGGCCTAACTCTTGAACCATCATTCTTTGAATAAACATCACACGGAAAAATATTTGCTCCAACTGCCCTGTGCATTTGAGAGCAAAGTGAAATGCCACAGTGGGGAGAAATGAACACTGTAGACTGTCCTACCATCAGGAACTGATTACAAGTTTCACTGACCCTGCCTATTTCAGAGGCACAAATCAAGATCACAGTGAAGAGGAATTTTATAGCAGAGGCTTAGCCTTGAGGCATTTTGGCTAAAAACATTTTAGGCTTTCAGCTCATACCAGTGTCATTAGTGACGTATGATTCAGAGACAGAAAAGTCACAGTCAATTCTCAGAAGAAACTGCAAGTTTATAGGCAAACGTCAGGATTGCTGAACAAAAAGTGAGTGCTTAGAGTAATTTTGCTATAAGCTCAAACACTGAAGAGTGTATGAGGCACAGGCACTTAACTTGTGAAGGATCGTTTTGGGGACCCATTTAATGTGTTCATTTATAGCACAAAAAGCAGGAAGATTGTGCTTGAGGTTTGCTAGATGTCAACGCTGCTGCAGAGAAGGAAGGGAACAACTCACACAGCTGATACCTCTGAGGATGAGACAACAGAAAAAGGGATGAAATTCAGCTCTACCAAGTGCAAAGTCATGCCCAAGAGAAGTAAAAATCATCACCTCCCTACAAATAGAATGTTGGAAATTGAAGCAAGTGGAGGATTTAACTGTTGTAGCCAGCTTTTAGACTGGTAGGAGTCACTAAGTGTAGTGGAGCCATGAAAACCCAGGTGCAACCTCAGAAGTGAAAAGTGATAAATACATTACACAACGTGCTGATTAAACTTTACCTGATTTGTTATTATGAACCTTGTTGGACCTAGAATATCACCATGTGAACAGCAATGATCCACAATTTCTCTGAGCTGGTTAGACATGCATAAGTTCAGACCAAAGGAGTTTGGAAACACACAGCAAGGGGAAACAAAGCATGCTTGGCTCAGTGACAGTTACAAAGCAGATGCATAAGAAGGCCATCAGAGAAGGTGCCCAGGTTTTACATGTGCCCTGGAGAGGTGAAGTGGAGGGCAGGAAGAGCTATGAGCCCAGCACATGACTGCTGGCAGCATCCCCAACCCCACCCTCCCTCCAATTCTCTGTGGATAAATCTGTTTTATTATGGACTGATTTCCAAATAAACTGTCTCAGTAATTACACACTGGAGAAGTGTTAACTGTAAAATATTTCACATATTAGAGAACCTGCTTTTGAACTGGATTCTGGTATTTATTCTGCTAAGAAGTGAAAAATCCTCTAATGTATGTGGATCTTAAAATCAGAAGTCATGTGGGTTAGTCTGAAGATAAAGTAACCTATGAAAGTAGAGCACTAAGGCTACAAGCCTGTAAATGAAATCTCATGTCTATTCATGTACCTCCTGCATAGTCCCTTTGCCTCTGAATGCTTAATCATTAGTCCTACACAGAGGTTACGCATCCATTTTACAGTCCTCCATGAATGTGACGCAAATGCCTGTTTGGTACTGCAATCATTCTCACATTCAATGATTTACGTCAAATGCTGAGTCAGATGGTGATTTCATGGCTCGACATTTGGTATTTTCAACTTACCTTCCCATCTTTGTCATAGGGGGAATCAAAATTATCCAGAAAGGCCCTAAAAACCTGATCTTCTGTCCAGTCTCCATTCTGGTATTTGGGATGATGCTTTGCATTATACACCTCCCGTAAGTCTTCAATTGTTACAACACCATCTCCAGTCTTATCTAACTTCCTAAATGCCTGCATGATGATCTCTTTTCTTGCATTTGACATGGGAGGCTGCGAAGAAATATTAACAGAATCATTTAATTTCTTCCAACTACTTTCCCAGTTCCAAATTCAAGTAACTGCTATTTTTAATAGTAAACCTATCATCTCAGGGCGCTTGGACAACAAACTGCAGATAGTTTACACTGTCCATGAGCTAGGAAAGGCCATATATATCACCAGAAAAGCAGTGTGATCGAGTCTATCAGTGTGATAGCAAAAGGACAATAAGAGAGAAAATGCTAACTAGAACACTTTTCTACCCATTTTAAATATTTCTAACAAGAAATTACTTATTACTCTAAGCACGGATTATTTTCATTCTAAATTGTTTAGACTTTAGCAGAGCAAAGAGGCTCCAACCAAAATCATTCACTCTGTGGTTGCTTAGGGAAAACCACTACTAGGTTAGTTAATTTTATAAAGAAATGCATCATAAAATGGCAGAAAAAGAAGTGAGACTAATGGGCTGAGCCACATAGGTACCTGGACTGTAATACGGGAATTCAGGTATCTAAATCATGGCAGCAATCAATTAAAATATTAACCATTTATTTGCAATTCTTCCATTTTACTGTGCTCTGCTCTGTCCTGTTCTGTTTTCCTCTGCTCTTTTCTATTCTGTTCTGTTCTGCTCTGTTCTGATCTACTCTACTCTTCTATTTATGGGGAGCCTTACGCATTTCCAATAAATTTGCAGAGATGTTGGTTTTTGAAGTCTGACATCCACACAGGTGTTCTTTAAGGTGATTTTTCTCCTTTAGCATTTTTAGATGGAAACAGAATATTTTAACTTCTCAATAGTTACTGACTTTTTAAATAGAGCTGTAGACTTTGCTAGTTACTAAGGTGAACAAATTGCTGTGCTTTGTGTTTGGCTAATGACAAATCAACGTTTTTCTCCATTTAATGCAGTAGAAACATAAATTCCCAGACTTACTCTCAGTGTAACAAGAAATTCATCAAAATCAATTGTTCCACTGCCATCTTTATCAAATATCCGGAAAATCTCTTGTGCTTCTTCCTTGTCTATCATCACAGCATAATCATTTAATCCTTTCACAAACTCTTTGAAATCAAGGGTCCTGCTGTTGTCATCATCCATAATTCTAAACACTCTGTGGAAAATGTGCAAATTGAGGAGAATGCTTAGGAAAACTTGGAGAATGCTGTAGCAGTCTAGCACAGTGGCAGTGCACAGAGAAACCTTTCTGAGATAACATTTTCCCCAGAGTCTGCTGATGAAAAGAGAAACCAACCAACAAATAAAAACCCAAAACAAAACAACAAAAAAATTAACTACCAAAAAAAACCCCAAACTCCAAAACAAAACAAAACCCCACCAGAAAAACAAAACCCCACCAGAGAAACAAAGCCCCACCAGAGAAACAAAAGTAGGGGAAAGGGAGCCAAAAACACAACACAATGACAGCAGAGATGACCTGCTTAGACTGTCTGAATATTACACAGCTGAAGTTAGAGTGAGGTGAAGGCTGCCTTAACTGAAGGAGTCTTCCTATTATAGGAATACGTATGTATTTCTATTTTATATATATAAAAATTATGTATGCTAACTTTTATATATATGCTAACATATATATATACACTAACTTTTATATATATATACTAACTTTTATATATATATATATATATATGTTAGGCATGTAGATGAAGTTTCAGCTTGTCACCGAAGTTTTGTCTGTGGTTTACTGAGCCCAGGAGCGATTTCAAGGAGGTGCAGCTCCCCTTTTCTGGGGGTGGGGTGACCCATACATTCAGGGTGACTGCAGAAGGAATCTAGATGCCTCCCATAAGAGAGACAGCTGATAGACCATTACAAACAAGGGAATACATGCCAACAGAAAGAAAGCACAAAATCCCCAGTATTGAGATAAAATCATAGAATAATTAGGGTTGGAAAGGACCTTAAGATCATCAAGTTCCAACCCCCTGCCATGGGAAGGAACACCACCCCTAAACCATGTCACACAAGGCTCTGTCCAACACTGCCAGGGATGTAGCTCCTTGAACTGGATCCTTGAACACTGCCAGGGATGGAGCATTCACAGCCTCCCTGGGCAACACATTCCAGTGCCTCACCACCCTAACAGGAAAGAATTTCCTCCTTATATCCAATCTAAACTTCCCCTGTTTAAGTTTTAACCCATTACCCCTTGTCCTGTCACTATAGTCCTTAATGAAGAGTCCGTCCCCAGCACCCTTATAGGCCCCTTTCAGATACTGGAAGGCTGCTATGAGGTCTCCACGCAGCCTTCTCTTCTCCAGGCTGAACAGCCCCAACTTCCTCAGCCTGTCTTCATATGGGAGGTGCTCCAGTCCCCTGATCATCCTCGTGGCCTCCTCTGGACTTGTTCCAACAGCTCCATGTCCTTTTTATGTTGAGGACACCAGAACTGCACACAATACTCCAGGTGAGGTCTCACATGAGCAGAGTAGAGAGGGCAGGATCACCTCCTTCGACCTGCTGGTCACGCTCCTTTTGATGCAGATAACAATAGAAAAATTCCAAAAAAAAAGAGGGAGGTGTTTCATGTTCCCTCTCTCTCCCTGGAGGAAGTTGCTCTGGGTCTCAAAGAAGCACCTTCCTCTGAGGGATTCATGATCCTCTCTCAGTCCTTCAATAGGTAAGCCAGTCGGCCCTGTCTCCCAAAACACAGGAGCCCCAAGCTCAGGATCTGTGAGTTGTGCCATTTGCAAAGGAATGAGGAAACGCAAGTTTTAGTCACTGCTTAGCCTGCGAGCCTCTTACTGCTAAAACTATTATGCTAAGTAACGGATTTGAGTTCTTAGACTCACCTGCCAAGTCCTTTGATGCCTGCAGATCCCCTTGCTAAACACTGCAGTCGAAGTCTTTCTACAGGGTCAGTGGTTTTGGACAGGTTCCTTTTGGCCTGGATTGCCATCTCTCGGTCATGCCTCGCAGTGCCTGGCATCTGGAAGACAAAAGCACTTACACAGCTTGCTTTCACATGCACAAGGCAGAGTGCTGAAACCTGCCTTAGTACATGGAGCATCCCAAATCCCTCACTTGCAAGGTGCTGGCAACTCTTTCATGAGGACTCATTTTGACCCTTTAGTGTCTTTTCCTTATACCCTTCAATCAGAAGAGGCAATTGCCAATCTGGGCCACCAGATCTGAAAGGAGAGTTCATCCAACTACCCTGTGATTAACCCAGATGGAAACACGAAAGTGTGAGTGAGAATTTGCTGCCTACAGTGTACAAGCGCACTGAATACTAGTGTACGCACCCGGGAGGGCAGTGCTGCCTATACACGGCAGCAGCCCCGCCAAGCCTCCTCAGCCTAGCCAGATTTGCAGTTGTCATTTGCCCACAGATAGATGAAAAAATTTTTGCTGTGAAGAGCAAAAATTGTCCTGAGTGAAGACCTTTTAATTTGTTTGCTTTTGTTCCATTGTAGCTCTAGCTCTCTTGAGCAGTGCTTTCTCTCATTTCACATCTGAGCTAAAGCCACCACCCCAAGATCTGACCTCACCTACAGATGACACCCTGTACTATTTTACCACAACTGTAGGACAAATTAATACCCTAAACTTGCACAGCATTTAACACCCCAGGATTTCAGGACTCTGCAGCAGTCACATAAACCTTTCAGCTTCCCTCAGAGGAACAGTGGAATAAGAAGTGGGAAAACAGCCCATGGACTTGGAGTAAGCACCACCAAGAGCAGCAGGCCCAGTGTGGGGAGTGAAGGCAATAAGATCTACATGAAAAACAGTTTGGGAATGAGCTCTGAGGCCTTGGTGCTTGGCAAGCCCTGGGGAGAGGAGCTGGGGACTTGAAGGACACAGAAGGTAGATAAACAAGTCTTGGGGGGGTGCAGCTGTGGCAGGAGTCTCAGCTGATGATGTGGCAGTTGTGAGAGTGAAGCATTGTGATTGGACTATTTACCTGGGGAGTTTTACAGGGGCCAATGAGATTGAACGTTGTTCGTACGTGCAGGTTGGGAAGGTTCCAAACGGGGGGATAAAAGGGGCTTGGTTGTAATAAAGTTGGATTTGAGTCTCAGTTTGGATTTGAGTCTCCTCATCAACTTGAGTCCATGTCGTGAAGCACCATGAAAACTAGTTTGGGAATGAGCTCTGAGGCCTTGGTGATGACAAGAGCTGGGGCGATGAGCTGGGGCGTTGAAGAACAGGGAAGGTCCAAAAACAAGCCTCGGAGGGATGGGCCAGGATGTAGTTGTGGCGGGAGGCTCAGATGGAGGCCAGAGGATGCGGGGGTTCTGAGAGGGTCTGCAGCATTGTGATTGGAGAGTTTTACAGGGGCCAATGAGATTCAACGTTGCAGGTTGGGAAAGTGCAGAACAGGGGGATAAAAAGGGTTTGGTTGTAATAAAGTTGGATTTGAGTCTCCACATCAACTTGAGTTCGTGCCGTGAAACACCACACTGTGAGGCATAGTCAGTACATGTTGTACTTCCAATCTTGTTGTCATTGCATGTGCAGAAGTATAAATTGAAACAGTCAGAGAAAACTTCTGAGAAACACGGAATGAGGCTGTTTCATCCTAACTAATCCACTGCTGCCTACAGAGCACTGGCTATTGCAGCTAGTAATGTCACATGGGCTGACTTCTGCAACCTGTTCAGACAACGCCAGCTGGGCTCTTAAAAACAGAAAAATAAAATGTTTTTGCTGCCCCAGAATGGTTTCAGTAGAAGCTCATTGCAGAAATCCAGCATGGTAAAAAAAGAGACTATTTCAGTTTTGCTCCAGCCAGAATGAGCAAAGTTCTTCTGGGAACTCATTAACGAGTGACCATAAAGACCTTAGAGCTGTGTGAGATCAGCAGTCAAAAATGCTTTCTGCAAACAGTGATGTGTCCTTAAAGGGATATGTTTAGCTGGCAAGAATATAGAATCCAGTAAGGTTAGATAAATGCAGTGCAAACTATATTTACATTATGTAATTATGCACTGTAACTTTCAGCCGTATATATAACGTATACCCATCTATAGACAAAATGCATAATGTATGCATATCATTGTGTAGTATGCCCTTATACTATGTTATATGTTGGTATAGATCTATAAATACTGAGACAAATGATGACATAATTCGTCTCCACTCTATGCTGCAAAAATCTACTCAAACACACACCATGAAAAGATCATAGTAACTCTTTGCCTCAAGTTCAGTGGAGTCATTTCCACTATACTGCAATGTTCTTCAAAAAGTCATTGCAGCCAGATTCATGAATTGAGGCTAGGGAGGGATCATTGATATGATACTTACTGTCCAGGGAGACTTTATAGCAGCTTTCCAATACCCAAAGTGGGGCTACAAGAAAGCTGGAGAGGGACTTTTTACAAGGGCATGTAGTGATAAGGCATAATGCTTTTAAACAGAAACAGGGTAGATTCATATTAGATGTAAGGAAGAAATTCCTTACTATGAGGAAGAGGTTGTCCAGAGAAGCTGTGGCTTCCCCATCCCCAGAAGTGTTCAAGGCCAGGTTGGACAGGGCTCTGAACAGCCTGGTCTCGTGGAAGGTGTCCCTGCGGGGGCAGGGGTTTGGAACTGGATGATCTTTAAGGTCCCTTCCAACTCAAACCATTCTGGGATTCCATGATTATGATTACCTGTACCTCAGGAGCCACTGAAACTGGCCAGTCCCCAGTTGTCTTTGCTGTAAGCAACAAGTCTGTTTCTACACCTACAAGCATTTCTAGCTGAGAGCACACTACCTCTAGGCTAAGTTGTTCCAGCGTTGAATGATTTTCTTTTCAAAATACGTTCTTTGTTTCCAGTCTGAGTTCTCCCCATCATTAGATGCTGCTATACTTTCCTTTACTGCATTACCTAGCTGCCTGCTAAAGCCTGTCCAGAAACAGAGACTTGAAGGTCCTTTTTAAAACCTTTTTGCCTAGGTAATTAGACAGAGCTTAGGACTCTTGCTACAAAATGAGTTTCCAGATAATAGAAGATGTTGCTGTTGCTCCTGGCCTTTTTCATTTTTTTCTCAGTGTTCCTAATGAAGTGGGACAGAGCACTCTAATCATCTCTCTAACACCATAGGGTATGATATTCCCATTTTCCCCCATGACTCATGGCTGAAACCACTAACAAATATTATATATAGTAAGTATTTATGCCACTCTGCAAATCTTAGTTCTCTATAATGTACAATAACAAAACCAAAACCACCATGTTGTTATATAAAACTCAGCAACTGGAGTCTGTTCAGAAAGTGACTGCACTTATACGTTACACTAAAGCCACTAAAATATGACCTGGCTTCCTGTGTCACACGGTAGCATGCATCTGAGAATAATTCCTATAAATTGAATAAACACAGAAAACCACTTACAAACCTTACTGCAAGTGATCCTGGTCCATAGTAACATGGCTACCACTTCCCTATTTCTGTTGTCTGCTGGTTTAAACTAGAGGTAAACAGCCTTCTAGGCTGTTTAAAGGTATAATGCATAGTAAGAAAAAAGATTCTGAATCAGAGCCAGGAGGAATCACAGTAATTCACATGCTCTTTTTTTCCCTCTCCTCTCATTTTGCTTTCAGCCCTTTTTGGATAATGTGAAGTAATTACAGATACAGACAGGATTTGTTGAATACAATAGTTCTCTGTATACCTTACAAATGTGTTATGCATTACTAACCATAAATAAATCAAGAAAAGGTCATAACCATGATTTGACATGTTTTTAATTCATATATCTCTTTCAAGAGGAACGTGTGCCATTGTAAAATAAAAAAGGGGCTGGTTAATTTAATTCTGAATGCTAGAGAGCTTTGTTTTTTATAGTAACCTGAGCTATAAGGAATTACAATACCCATGTTTTTAGCATTGTTTGTTTCTATGGGCAATGTTGTGTTGTGAAGGCTTCACAAAAATGACCGCATTTCTTCTTAACAAGTAAAAAACCTGAAATTCTGAGTTGGGTTTTTCCAGAAGATCCTCAGACTGATCAGCAATCAGACCCCTTTACGCACCTCTAAGCCTGAAGCTTAAACCTGGCACAAGTCAGATTTAATACAAAGTCAGCACCATTTGTTTATGTGTTTGCCTTGAACTGAGCCCAAAGACCTCCAGTGAAAATCCTGAAAAACACCCCAGTGTGACAGGCAGAAACCCACAGAGCCTCTGCTAGAAAGCCCCTGTCCTGGACAAACACACCACCCCAGAGCAGAATATCCCAGTGTGTGGGAACAGATTAAGTGGCCTAGATCAATTGCATGCATTTGGTTTATTCCTAATAATTTCATAAAATTCTTAAAAGCATGAAAACCATGTGAGTATTTGGCAACCATTTAAATACCTCCTCAAAAATATGGCTTTCCAGCCCCAGAGACCCCTCTGCTTCTCCACCATCCCCAGCATCACACGGCTCCCATCTTCTGGCAGGTGAAGCATAATTGCTTTTGTTATTTTGCATATATATTTATAGCATACATATATAAACACTTTGCAAAATACATGTATAGAGAGATATGTGTATATAAAAACCCCCTAATCTTTGCTGAACCTCAGGCTCAACTGACCAGAGAAACTCACTGTGAGCTAGCAAGCAAGAGAGAAAATCGTTTACCTGCAATGCTATCCTGCACCCTGGGGTTTCCACCCAGGACCTGGGAGGTGTTTGAAGGGCTGGGACTGCACCGTCCCCCACCAGCCTCCCCGCTCCCACACTCTCGCTGGGCTCAGGCTGCAAGTGGAAGGGATGCAGGGCCACAGACTCACTGCAGAGCTTCCTTGTCCATCTCGTTTTACTTGTTTACACACCCGGCTGCCTTGCCCCCCTTTTTTGGGACGCCTGGAGTTTACCAGCCAGTCTCCAAGGTGACACTGGTGGCAGTGGCTTGCCCAACCTGCAATTAGGAGGTTCCCCTGGGTGATTGCCGCTGGGCTGCCAGAGTCCTTTCATTTAGCCTTTTTTAAATCAATGTTTTCCTTCTCCTCTCTGCCCTCAAGGGTTTGGGGGGGAAAGAGTGGGAGGCATCTCCTGATACTCCTTACTGAGACGCCCAAGAATGCCTGCAGGAGGATGCAGCATCGCAGTGCCAGTGTTAAGCATGGCTATGCTATGATTGATAAAAAATTTGCTGGGTTAATCCATTACTCAAAAAAAAAAAAAAAAAGGGAAAATAAGCAAAAGCCTGTCAAATGTGTTTCACAAAAAACAAGTTGCCAGCAATTTTTTTCTTGCTGATTAATTGCCATTTGGAAATTGGCAGTGAATGCCAATTTGCCATTAATTGCCATTCTGCTGGCAGTGAGAATCTCTAGGGAGATGCTGAGATTGTGTTCATTTGCAGCAAGAAGAAAACTGAAAAGGTTAAACGCCCATAAGATGAGGAAAAATTGCTCTCTGCCTAGACACAGCTATTAGCAACTCTGCAGAAGGTCACAAACATTGTCAGTGACATAGTGTAACACCCGGAGAAGGAATCAGAGTATTGGTAAGACTCCTTCGGGATGAAAAACAGTCTGTATTATGCTCCCTGTCCCTCTCTGGTGGAAGCAAGCTCAACACACAGGATCAGGGCTGATGGTAATGGCAGCTTGTACACAGTGGTGCTAGAGCATATGGGGAATAAGAGAGATCTCAGTTCTGGCCATGGGCAAAAGAGCAAGAATGAGTAAGTGCACGTAAGAGTTGGTTTAAGCAATTACTAGAGTAATAACACTGGCATCTTTAAAGGCTGCTTATCTCTCATCGACAGGTACTTCCTGGTACTAAATCATAGCTTGTGCAAGACTTTGTATATGCTTTATATCTCTCATCTGGCAACTGACTCTACATTAATGCACAACCAGGAAACAATCTTTATTTAATCATTCACCGATTTAAAAATATTGACTTTGTGACAATGCAACATCTCCCCATCTGGTATCGTTGTTCTGTTAGTTGATCTCCAGAATACAGAAGAGACAAGGGGCTCTGAGTATGCCCGGGGCTGCTGGTGCAGGAGGAGCAGCCCCTGCTGCCTGTAGGCACACACTGCAAAGGCAAAACGGAGACTGAACACTGCAGAAATAATTCTCATTCAACAACAACCGGTCCCTGAAATTCAGCATCTCCCCTGAGTAAAACAATTCTTCAGGTGTCAAATTTGCATTGACTTTCAGAGGGGTGCGTGTAAATTGGAACGGCAAAGATGGGCTCTCAAAAGCAAAAGAATAAGTCAATCTAATATCTAGATACCTGGCTGCCTTCTGTTGCCTCACCTGCCCTCTACCAATGAGCCTGGGCACACACACATGGATGTTCAGTCTATCTTCACATAGTCTGAAAACTGGACTGTGTCATGTCTGAGCTGGTTAATGAGTTACAAATCTGAACAATTATTAACAGGCTTTCAGGTGTCCTAGATTGCATCGGGCTGTGATTAGGTTTACTTGATTGTACCTGCTCTATTTCTGCGCCCAAAGCTGTAAGCAGGGCTCAGTGAATTCAGAATGTATAATAAAGAAGATTTCATCAGAACTCTGGAATTTTCCTCATTATTTTCTAACTAGCCCTGAATACCTACATGTTTAATTTCTGGTTTTGTTCAGTGGACAGCCTGAAATGTCTGTTCAGTTTGTGGTTCAGCACTGAGCTGAATCTAATCGGAAAATGACTGATGACCACTAACACAATCTATACACTTATGACAGAGACTGAGATCTTGACAATATAGGTTTCCAAAAAATCAGATTTCTTGTTGGAGTTAGGCAGGAGGGAAAGTATTAAAAATGCCTTGTATGTATTATAAGAAGTGTCTCAAAGAAAAGAGATAAGCCACTGGGTATTTTGCCAAAGTTAGGTCACATGCACTAGCATTGTTTCTGTATGTGCTACCAGTAACCTTCACTGCCAAGTTCTTCAGCAGAGAGAAGTGCGGGTATGAACACATCCGCTTGTACTTGGCAGGGGAATCAGCATGGTGTTTAGTTTTCAGAACAACCAAATTAGCAGGTTAAAAAAAAATAACAAAATTAAAAAAGCAAACATGAAGTATCAAAACACTATACAAAGTAGACTAATTTTAGAGGATAAACCTTTGGGTTTTGTCCTGCCATTGAAATTAAAGTTTCACATACACCAAAAAATGAAACCCCCATGGTAAGTAAATTTTTCAACAGAAAAGTGTTCTGATTTTAAACCAAGCTACAATGCAATTAAATTGAACCCCCAGCCCAAATAAGATGCTTTTACATCCAAAATGCCGTCTCCTTAGGTGGTTTCTTGTTATCTAGCTGAAATTAATTGTGCTCATGATTGTTCCTTGGAGCTGGCCTATGCAGGCCATGCCTTTGCCACAGAACTTCTGCCAAAGAATCACATCCAACCTACATGCTGGGGACAGCCCTGAGCCCCACTCCTCATGGGTCTGATCCCACAGCAGTGACCCTCAGCTCATCCCTCTGCATGAGGAGCCTTTCCAGCCCGGGGAGTGCACAGTGCCGGCTGCAATGGAGGGATTGCTCTGCCCAGCTGCACATCTTCAACATTCCTTACCTTTACCTTGTCTTAGCTTTTCTCCTCACTCTGAGAAAGCATAAACAGGTTAATTTTTAACACTATGTCTGCTGTTATAGGCATATATGGTTTGACAAGTTTTTTAAGCTGATTTTAGACCAGAAGTGTTCCAGAAAAATGAGTAGTTATTTTGATTTTTTTTTCTTCTTGAGAATCTACCACAAACCTCTTTCCAGTTGAAGAACAGAAAATTAAGACACTGGATGCTTCAGCTTTTTAAGAAGTTTAGCAAACAATGTTTACTAAAATTCAATTATTTTTATCCTGTGCCTTGAAATAATGAAACTTTAAGTTTTTAAAGATTTCAGGCAAAGTGGAAAAACCTGTATGCATGAGAAACTTCTATGCAAGAGAAATCCTCTCTCTTTCCTCCAGATAAGAAAACAGTTAAGTGAATCCAGCATTTAGTAAGATCAAATACCTTCTGATGCTGAAAAGCTGTGCTTGATCACTGAGGAGGGGAGGAGTAAGGAGGAACAGGAAAGCAGTCTGCAGTTTGCTTTGACAAAACCCAGAACAATCTGTTCTCAGTGAAGAGAACAAAGAGAAGGGAGCCAAAACCAGAGAAGAGAAGGTTCCAGTTAGCTGCTCCTCAAAAGAGAGTGGCCTCCCTAAAGGTAGTCATGAAGCACTGGAGCAGGCTGGGGAAAGAAGAGCAACTGTGAAGTCTCTGCTTTCGGCACCTGCGCATGGCAGGGGGGCATGTCTGTATCATTTTTTACATCTCTTCCAGTCCTCTGAAATGAAGATTTTTACAGGTATATGGGATCATGCCGTTAGGCAGGGAGGGAGGGAAGCAATGTCAGTAGCTGTGCAGGAGAGGGCAGAGGCTCTCTCTTCCAGGACATGAGCGAAGCATTAGCAGCAGGAGAAGGTGGAGGCTGCAGGGAGAAGCTGTACTCCTTGCCAGTGAGGAGAATGCTTTGCTTGCCAGCCCGTGGAGCTGTCTGAGTGCAGCTTTTGCTTAACTCTGTGTGGTACCATTCTAAAATAGCCACAAACAACACGTATCTTTTGTTGCTGTTCTCATGAGCTTCCTTTCGAAATTATCAGGGGCTGTCTGGTCCAGAAACTTGCTGGTGGCATGTGTGTCAGATGCTTTCCCCTAGCAGGGCATACTCAGCATGGCAGCATGCTTCGGCACAGGACTGTCTACCCCAAAGCTACCTGCTCATCTGCTCTACTCTTCAATGCGCTGGTGATGGATAAACCATCAGCCTAGAGAGCATAGTGATGTCCCACATTCCCTTCCCTCCATGGCCTGCTCACTTCAGAAGTCCATTGCTGTGCAGAGGATTAGCTATTGTCAGGCTCTTCTGCACGTGTTGAGCCCCGAGATGATGCCACCTTGGCATATGAGCTGCTGTTTTCTCAGTGAAGATCTCAATTCTCTGGCTGTGAAGAGCAGACTCATACAGGGATGAGTCAGCAGACTAAAGACCCAGGGCCAGATCTCAAAACAGATTAATGCCAAGTACTGGCATTTACCCTTTTCTAATACTGCAGTGCCTTGTGCAAAAATAATTCCTAATACTGCAAAACCTTGTGTCTCTGACCACCAGAACATGAATATTCAACTCCCTCAAAAGTACTGCTGTTCAAAGAGGGACCCCTGTCAATTCTGACCTGGTCCTAGAAACAGTGAGAGTCCAAACATTTGTACTTAGGGCCATATCAGCCACCAAGGGCACCCCAGGTGTCTGCATAGAGCTACAGAGGACTTACGTGTGCTCTCCTTGGAGAGGAGTTGAAGGGATGGCAGAATGCCTAAAGGTTCCAGACAGGCAAATGAACTACTCTATAGCTGTCCCTCCCATAGCATTGTAAGAACATTCAAAGTAAAAAAAAAAACTGTTTAGGTCATCTCAAAGGCCTGCTGGTCCAGTCTTTTAACACCCACAGTGGCCAGGAGCCCCCACTGGGGCTGCCTGTAGAATTCTTCCTGCTCAGCCCTTCAGCAAGCAGCCATTTCCCAGCTTCCTGAGCTGGAAGTTGCACGCATAAAGTTATTCTCCATGAGTTTTCCTAGCCCCTCTTTGAACCCATTAATGCATCTCTGTCCTGGGTTCAGCAGTAGCAGTCATTTTTCCCCTTCTTGGTAGCTGGTGCAGTGCAATATTTTGACTTTCAGCTCGGGAACAGAGCTGATAACAAGCGATGTTTTGGTTTGGCCAAGGACTTTGTGAGCCTCATGCTCTGCCAGGGAGGAGGGGAAGCCGGGAGGAAGCAGAGACAGGACACCTGACCCAAACTGACCAAAGAAGTATTCCATACCACACACGTC